TATACCAAGTACAGTATGTGTCTTGTTTGTTACCACATAATACCACATTTTTCCATAGGTGCTACACATTTACCATGTACATATCATTAGTATGTACAGTTATGTGTCTTATTAGTTACCATATACGGATACTGTAAGGATGTGCCTGTTTGTACCCACTTGTCCGTAAGTACTACATATTTACCATGTATATACATTAGTAAGTACATTAAAGTATCTAATTAGTTATCATGTACGGGCACTACCTGTAAGTACCCACACTTGTCTGTATGTACAAACAAATTACCATGCATGTACGACTGTTAAGTACAGCAGTGTTTTTTATTTTTTACCATGTACATACACTCCAGGTAAGTACCTTGTGTTACCACTCATTTGCCTGTAGGTACAAGATATTTGCCATGTATGTACCAGGGAAGTACACGTACTGTAAAATAAAGTGCTACCACTATGACTATATGACTACAATAGTTTGTTAATAAATTTGGGGTTACTTCAGGATAACTGGGACATTTTTTCCTAGTCATCTCAACGACAAAAAGGGAAGGTAAGACATTTACCTGAATTCACCCCTATAAATGCTTTATTACTGTATACTTATTATAAAATGTCACAAAAAATAACACTCTCTATCTCTATGAACATGTTTGTTTATTATAAGTGTGTAAGTATGTGTTAGGGAATGTTTGTACATGTGTGTATGTTTGTAGATCTTACCTTCTTTTTGTCCCTCATGGAGCCTTTCCCTCTCACCATGATCTTACATCCTGTCTCTGCTTCCAGCTGTTTGGCTGTGAGCCCCCGCGGGCCCAAGATCCGGCCCACAAAATTAAACTGCAACACACAAACACACACATCTCACTCACTGCATCTGCGTCTGGATGGAGCAGTATAATACATACGCTTTAGCATTTGACAAGTCACAGTTTGCATCAACAATACTATAAAATTTACATTTCATGTTACTTTCGAATTTCTTCACTATAGTGTAAAGTATCAGGTTATTATGTAGCATTATTATGCAGGGGGCATTACACATACTATTCTTAAGTTTGATGTTATTAATAATGTAATTCCTAATTTCTAAAGCACACACACACACACACACACACACACACACACACACTCCTACTTTGGCTCCTGAATGCTTATCACACTCAGTACAAGAATTATAATTACCATTTTTAAGCCCTTCTTAGTCTTGCACCACAATATTTAGTTGATCTGAATCATGCTCATTCTTCTGCTTTCTACTCTTAGGCCTTCTGGAGACAGTTTATTAACACTCTCTGAAAAAGGTAGAAAAGCTGTCTTTGGGGCTGTAACAAAACTTACTAAAATGTACCATCTAGGTACTAATATGTATATTTTAGGTAGTAATATATACTTTTAAGGTACTAATATGCTCCTTTTTTTTCGGAGAGTGAATGTTCCTTCATTGGATGGATGGTCTTTCAGTGTCTTGACCCCTACAGTAGTACATACTGGAAATCTCTCCTCCAGCATCTCAGTGAAACTGTATCTCAACCACCTTCAGAAAGCAATTGAAAACGCATCTGTTTACTCTGGGTTATTGAAATGTTTATGCATTGTCCTTAGGTTCATGAAAAGTGATATATACAGTATATATAATGAATAATGATGTTTTATAATAATATAATAGTTTTTTATATAGAATATATTTTAAATTATAAAATATATTTTACAATGTTTTTATGTTAGATTATTACAGACTACCATTATGATTGATTTTCATTTCAAGTAGATTTTCATGTATAGTTTTGTATTTTCTGGGAGTGTTGAATTCAAAGTTTGTCAAGCTTAATTTAGTGCTTCATCAAAAATCACTTCATTATTGCACATTAATCATCTCTCACTTCTGAGACCGTAAATTCTGATATGGCTACAGGCTAATACTGTGTCCGCACTAAATATATGTACATAAAATGCAATGTTCGTGTTCATTTCTAACCCTGGCTAAGTTCAAAAGTGATCCCAGACATGCGAGTTAGGTGATGGAATTCAGCAGAACTGTGTGAATGAAATTCCCTGGGAGGTACTTTATTTGAGCAGGCTGCCTAAGTGTTATCGTGGAGCTCATCAGCCCGGGACTCAGACAATGTGCAGAGAGCAGCAGCCGATAGCCTCCTATATGCCCGCGCCTCCTCTAGGCCTTCACTGATAAGATAAGAGCCACCAATTGTTTACCTAATCGATCAGGTATCAGCACTGACCCGACGGCTGTCGGTCAAAGGCTCTGGTCAGGTCTGTAGCTGGAGAACTGACATGCAAATGTGAGTGAGTTTGTGTTACAGTTACAATAACATTGTGTTACAGTTGCAATATCAGACCAACTCTGAATACACTATTATTAAAAAGTTTGGGGTCGGTTAGATTTTCTTTTATATTTTTTAAATAAGTTTCTCATGCTCACCAAGGCTGCATTTCTTTTTAAAATAAATGTAAATAAATAAAATAAATAAATGTCAAAAATACAGTAACAAGCAGTAATAATGTGAAATAACTGTTTTCTATTTGAATATATTTTCAAATGTAATTTATTCATGTGATGCAAAGCTGAATTTTCAGCATCATTACTCCAGTCTTATCACGTGACCCATCAGAAATCATTCTATGATTTGCTGCTCAAGAAAAATTTCTGATTATTATCAATGTTTAAAATAGTTGTGCTGCTTAATATGTTTGTGAAGACTGTACATCCCCCCCCCCAAGATTCTTTGATGAATAGAACGTTCAGAAGAACAGCATTTTTTTTAAACAGAAATATTCTGTAACATTATAAATGTCTTTGTCATTTTTTGATAGATTTAATGCTTAATTGCTGAATAAAAGTATTCTTAAAAAAATACTGATTGACTTTTCAAAGTAATGCATTACATATGTCAGTACAGTAAGCACATTAAATAATATTAACTCTGATAATATGGTTTAAATTAAAAAAAAGTAACAATATTTGACCTGTTAATTCAGATTATGTAACATGCAACTCAATAACCCCAGAACACAACCCACAATTATTTCTGCATACTTCATCATCTTGTGCATTGTATGAAACTGTACAGTTTTATCTTTCTTTATTTATTCTATAGATTTTAGGAAATGTGCATGTTGCATCTCTTTCTCTCCTTTAGGGAACTCAGTGTGACGTGCAGCAGTGCGACGTGCAGTGTTTTGGAGGCATGCAGCTTTGCGTTCTTAAAAATCCCATTTTACACTACAGGCCTCCTGCTCTAATCAATAAGCCTTCGGGGCCCACTTTATCAATGTGTTTGGTATTCTGATGTTACGCTCTTTTCACATGACTGACTCCATGCATAATCGACTACTGGTAAAACATCGTCACTGAGTATGTGTTTGTGCAGTTTTTATTTTTTTATTCTGGCTCCCTTCATCCCTGTCCAAGAGCCTTGCAGATATGAATGAAAAAAAAGCAATTAAATTTTACTTGGAGGCACATAGCACAAGGGCGTGCATTACATTTGTATGCGTGTGTGTTCACCCTTCAAATAAAAGGTGTGTGTGTTTATTTCTGCATCTACATAAAAAAGATGACTGTCACTCCATCTTTTTTTAATTAATAAACCTATTACAATATACATATGGCACTTTTTACATGCGAGTCAATCATTTTTATATTAAAGTGTTTAATGTCTAAGAACACACAGTCAAGATTAAAAGCTGTCATTTCCACTGTACGTTCATGTTTGCATATATGAGTGACATGCATCCATACAGTTCTGACGCTCCTATATGCAGCGGCTTCCTACTTTCCACTACCTTGAAAAGTAAAACTTCATCAAATATCAAATATTCTAGTGTCATGAAATAAAGATCTGATCTTGATCAATCTTCTATGTGGTTTTGACCACGTGTGATGGGATTTGTGTGGAATTTGGTATATAATGGTAATGTCATTTTGGACAAATTTCCTGCTTTAACACTTATAAAATAAAATGAATTCATGATATGTAACTTTGCTTTTACTTCCTATTTCAGTTTGAGATGCGAAGAAATTACCATTGCCAGTCACAGAAGAGGCAATGGAAGCTGACCCTCCTGTAAAATGAACAATTAAAATTATCATGAACAATCACTTTACTTATGAATGTGCATGCAATGCAATAAATATATATATATATTTTTTCTTTCATGCACAGTCAAACCCAGGTTTAAGTCACTGCACAAGTGCCAGAGAAAGTTAACAAGATCCTCTGATTAGTAAAATAACCATTTAGAATTGCTATTCAAATGATGCAATATAATTTGTTTCCATCCAAAATGCTTGCACAACATGGAGAATAAATTAAATTTGCACAATATTCTAAAACAGCAGTGTATCAAATACTTATTTGCCCCACTGTATATACATATATAATTATCAGAAGTAAACCAGTATCAGTATCGCTAGTGTGTTATTGGGCCTGCTTGTGGTTAATGCAACAGGTAAAGAGAGACTTTAGTTAAAATATCAGTTTTAAAACACTGAATAAAAGGGCCACATGTAAATATGCCATAACAAGGATGTATTACAAGATAATGCACTCCTTGCAGGTTACTTGATATTTATATACATATGAGCCTGCCTGGAAAACACCCTCATAGACCGGAAATAACAAGCCCTTTCAGAAACCAAGCCAGCGCAAAGGTCATGTATGTTCAGAGCCGCTGTCGCTATGTGATGGAAAACTGCTCGGTATACCAAATCAAAGTCTTTTCTTCAGGCCTGCACAGGCGAGTTTCCAAGGTGCCCTTGAGAATGAGTAATCAGTGGAAGGGACTCCAGAAGGAACGGCTTCACTCCGAAAGCAGCAGGCGCAAATTATACATCCGCGGTCTCCCTGCTGTATTCACACATCTGCCGGGATTACACACACAGCTCTCCGTAGCGGCTCACAGACGGTCGGATGACCTCCGCTCTCCGTCTGGATTATGTGACGCTGGGACCTGGTGAGAGCACTTGAAAACAGACACATACGGACTGATCTGAAAAAACTCGCTTTTACTCAGCTGCTGGGTTTCAGAGATGCTGGCGAGTATCCCCTGATGGGAAAAATCTGCTGCAGTGTCCTTCACATATAGTGATTTGAGCTTGGACTGCATATGAATCTATAAAATCTCATAAAACTTATCCAACATCTCTAATCTTTTAAACTTTTAATGATGAATTCAGTGGGTTCATTAGTGGATATCCATCAAGTCAATATATCATCTAATTCTGAAGCTATTCAGAAAGATGACATTAAACAGTATTCGCATCACATTGATTTAATTGTTGACAAAATGACATATATTGAAATGTAATAGTATCCACCCACTTTTTCACTGGTATTTAATATCTTGGTTTCGGGAATATTTCATGTTTTTATAAAATGCAAAAAAAATAAAAAACTACAAAAGTGACTCATTCCATAAAGCATTGCAAATTACATAATTAAATCAGAAATTAATACTTTTATTCAGCAAGGATGCTGTATATGTAAATTATTCATGTGATGGCAAAGCTGAATTTTCAGCAACCATGAGAAAATTATTATTTTTTGTTTAATATTTTTGTCGAAACCATGACACACCATTTAAAAGTTTTGGGTAAGATTAAAAAAAATAAGAACACATTTTAAAATATTTATTTCAAATAAATGCTGTTCTTTTGAACTTTCTATGCATCAAAGTATCCTGAAATAAATGTTTCATGCTTTTCACAAAATAAATAAATAAAGCAGCACAAACGTTTTCTACACTGATAATAATCAAAAATCTTTCTTGAGCAGCAAATCAGCATATTAGAACGATTCTTGAAGGATCATGTGACACTG